GGGGCGGGGCCAGGGCCCGTGGAGTGTCCTCTTTTTATTTTTTAAATATGGTAACCCTAGTCGACAGGGGAGTGGCAGCAGTCGTCCTACCACAGTGAAGACACCGCAGTAAGTAGCTCTAAGTACGTCGACTTCAGCTATGCTATTTTCATAGCTGAAGTTGCATAACTTAGACCAACTTATCTTGCCCCCTCTCCTCCCGCCAGTGTAGACTAGGCCTTAATGTCCCTTGCTAAGTGTAACTCATTTTGTGTCTTAACCTTTCTGATTTTGTCCCTACATACTTGTGCTATTCTTTTGTACTCCTCCTTAGCAATTCTTCCATGTTTTCACTTTTTGGAAAAATTAAAGATCTCCTGATGGAGCCATGTTGGCCTCTTTCTCTTCTTCCTATCTTTCCTTTGCATCAGAATAGTTGGCAGCTGTGCATTTAATATTGTCTCCTTGAGAAACTGCCAGCTCTCCAGAACTCCTTTATCCCTTAGATTTTCTTTCCATGGGACTTTACTTAAAAGTTCTTTGAGTTCGTTAAAGTCTGCTTTTTTCAAGTCTATTGTCCTAATTCTGCAGCTCGGACGCCTGCCTTTTTTTAGAATCATAAATTCTATCATTTCATGATCACATTACTCAAACTGCCTTCCTGCTTCAGATTTGTAACCAATTCCTCTCAGCTGGTCAGAATCAACTCGAAAATGGCTGTTCCCTGGTTACTTCCTCCACTTTCTGAAATTCATCCCACATCATTTGAGGTGTCCTGCACTATTATTTCATTGAATCTTTTACTGTGGGGGAAGCACCATATATTTAGGCTGCAATCCCATTGCTATTCCAGAGTTCCCCGGGACACCCCCTTAGGCTCTTTTTATCCCAAGCTAAACCTTTGCGGCAGTTACTTATGTAGAACTCTCAATTTTCCCACAGCTAGGCCTTTTCTTACCCTCCACTCACTGCTTCATTGGTAATTAGAACAGAGCAGGAAACAGTTTTCCCATCCTAAGAGAATTTTGAGATGTCTAAAATTTCCCCCATCCCAAATCAAGACAAAGTCAAAGTCTCCAATGTTTGCAAAACAAAACAACCCCCTCCCCCCCCGAAAAAAAAACAGATCAAAATATTTTGAAGGATTTTGAGAACATTAAAAAAATTCATTTCAAGCTTTTTTATACTATATATTATATTTCTAAAAAAAGTAGTTTTGAACCAAAAATTGGACCTTTTCATTTTGAAAGTGTTAAAATAGAATGTTTTGAGAATTTGGTAACTTTTGAAAAAAATTCCCAAAATGGGAAATTTGTTGAAAATGATCCAGAACAGTTTCAGTTTTGACATATTAGGATTTTTGATTTAAAATGTTTAGTTAAAAAAAAAATCACTAGACACGGGATCAACTGTGATGCAGAAAGGGATGGATAAATCTTGGACAATGTACTGTGCCGACAGCCTAAACTGGAGGGTCTTAGACCACAGATTCCCTAATGGATGGATGATCCAAAATGTTTCAAGGGAGGCTTCAGCTGATGAATTTGTATAAGAAAAAACATATGCGAAACATGACAAGTTTCACTTTCAAGTGGAAAGTTTTCAGGAGGAAGAATTTATTTTGCTGTTTTTAATTTTACTGGAATGGGCTCATATCCAGAGACCTGCCCACAACCAGTGTGGATCTAGTCCTAAACATTTCATACACAGGGCCAATGCTCAGGCCAGTCACCCTTTTCTTCCTCACAATTACATCAAGACAATTTGCTAAAGTACATGGGGAATTTCCACATAGGGTAGCAATAAATTTCTATTGCTAGGTCCCATTGTTTTCTGAACATGGTCAGCACACCTAAATCAACTGCGGGATTTCCGATGTGTTTGAAGGGGGCTTTGTTGTTGGTTGTAATGTACTTATTTACCCACGATAGCTCAGCTCTGATTCAGCATCTGGTTCTCATTGAGGTTCTGCTTTTTTTAACCCAATCTTCCAGCTGACTTGATTGGAGCACAAAGAGGTCAAGAAACTTTTCTGAGGACATGTAGCAAGTCAGTGGCTCCACTTGGATTAAAGCCCAGAACTGTCCTGGGCTACTAGGTCTTTATTCTTAAAGAGACAATTTTACCTTCTGTGACATGATCTTACAGTTGTGCACAGTAGCCAATGTTGGATTTAAGGGATGAGGGAAGAATGGAATAAAACTGGCTCCCACAAAATTGCAGCCTGTTCAGTAAGTGCCTTTTCAGTGGGAAATTGCTGAAGTGTTCCATTGAGTTACCGCAGCAAGTAAAACTCAGGTTTAAGTGACTCAGGTGCTCACACACGCGCTGCACAGCATATATGCGTGCACCCAACCTACCAATCACAGCAACACCCCAAATTTCTCATTCATGTCCAATCTACCTCCAGTAAACTAGAGGAGAGTTCTCCAACGTCTCTCCCGCACACAGAAAGTTGTGTTTTAGCTCCACCTCCTGGCTTCTTGATACATGATGGGGGCCTTGGGGGGCAAGAGGGGAGATTGCCAGAAGGTATTGAGCCTTAAACAGATGGAGGGCACTATGGGCACGCAAGAGTGAGGAGAGAACTAAAGGTTCCTTGTGCATAATTTGAAAAGGGCCCTGCAGAACTGTGGACTGACCATAACAATTCTAAGTAGCAGAACCTGCATGTGGAAATATTTTCTATAGTAGCCCACATTTCATAAGCACTTTGAAGAGTAAAACTATGAAGTGCTCCATAAGATTACATCATTGTTCTAACTCTGTACTGGAGATGAAGATGCAATTATTTTATTTAAATATATCACTGCATCAAATTATGGCATATTTAGGCTTTTTATGCCTAACAGCTAACAGGACAAGTAACTCCAGTACTGGACGTTTTTCCTACATACTAGTGCAGCAACTGGCACCTATTTTGCCAGCTCGGGATCCACCAGACACTCATATCTGTTGGAGGAACGTCCCATTGGCCGCTAGTCCTATTTTTTGTTCCAGGTGTTCAGGAGGTGTGGTGGTGACTATGACTGATATTCTAAATGTTTCCTGTTATAACCCTGGAATCGTGGTCTGTGACCAAGACTCTGAGTTGTTGAAACGGGGCACCCAGTTTTGGGGTTAGTTTCACAGCAAAATAGAAGCTTTACAGACAAATGGCAGCTCAGGTTTCCTATTCTCAGAGATTGCCCCTTCCGCTGCCCCAAAGGACAAACCACAGCCCATCATAAGCCAATTCATGTGTCTCTAGGCACTGACTGCCCTTTAAACAGCAGGCACAGAAGAGCACAGGACTGTTTTTGTGGATTGTGCCAACAGACAAAGGAAGTCCTCCACGCAGGGTCAGTAGGGAAAAGAATGCATTGGCACAGATAGGACACTAAAACTCTATGTGGTCCAAGGCACCGTTCCACATTAACACAAGGGCTCAGTACTACCCCCCTCCCAAGAAAAAGAATCCCTGAGCATTTCTAAATGCCAATACCTATCCCAGTGTCAAGTCCTGCAGAACCACTGGCTGAGATTTTTCACACCTGTTTTTGGTTTTGTTTTTTAAATGGTTGAACAGCTCCCCCTCCTTTTCAACTGACTGTCCTTCCAGTTCAAACAAAGACACAGGAGCTCCTCCTTGGCTGGCTGCAGGAGCTGGTAGTGCAGGCGGATGCTTTTGTTTACTAACTCTCCCACATGCTTGGCTGACACGCGATTCAATTCTATTCTCCTGGCTCAGTCAGTCCCCAGGCCCGTCCTGCACTGCAGTCAGTCGCATGGCTCTCTCAGTGCCATAGCAGCACACACTTCTTGCCTGGGGGAGAGGGAACAGGCCAAGATTTTCTATTGGTGGTTTTTTTTTATTTGTTTTGAGGGGGGCATTCTTGGACGCATTTCCCTGACAAAGACATTGGATAGCTACACTCCCCAGATGGAAAGGGTCAAGTTACAACCAGTTCCACTGCTTCCCTTCAGGACTCCTGACAGCAAAGATTGTTAATCTTCCCTTTGCTGTAAGAAGCTAGCTACAGTGAGACAGGGACAGCTAGCAAGAGAGTGCCATTTAGAAAGGGGGGCGGGGAAGAGAATAAACAAACAAGTCACAAAAATAATTCGTGATATGGTATTTCTAATGTCAGAATGACATCCCACAGCCCAGATAGCCAACTTTCACATTTCTTCAGTTGATCTTTCTAGAACATTCCCTTAAAAATTCTGCTATTGGGTCATGACAAGAAAACTTTGGGACCCTTCATCTCCATAAGTTAAGTGCACTCAAACTTTGCCCAACCGAGGGCCATCCCAGCAACTCTCCAGGAACTAAGTTCCTCACCTAACTTGAGTAAGACAAAAGCAGCTCCCATCTTTAAATGGCTCTACTGGGGTGAGGGAAGTATTCGCCCTCTGAAGCCCACAGGAGGGCATCAGCAGCTACAGGTCCCAGCATGTAGCACTCCTTGATCTGAGTTGAAGTCTGCTCAAATCATGATGAGGTACTGCATGTTAGAGCCTGTGCACTCTGCTAGCTACCTCCACATCAAAGAGGAGGGCAGCGCTGGGCTGCACTTTGGATATGCCAATTCTAAACCCTGGGTGATCAGGGACTTCTAGTTCTCTTCTCCTCAGAGATTAGAAGGCAGGGTGGAATGGTGCCACACAGTTGCCTTTTGCTGCGTGGAAGTTAGCTAAAATATGACAGACACCGATTAGGATTGGCTCACGATGCAGAACCTAGCCACAACAGAGTGGTGCAAGTGTGTATTCAGCATAGACGGTGACTGCACGAAGATGTGAGATGAAGGATCAGCTGAGCCGGAGGCTGCTGGATGCCATACCTGGATAACCAAATCCCCTTCTCCCCCCCCCAGAAAGAGCGCCTACCCTCTGTATGTGGAGCCTGTGGAACTGGTCTGCAATGCACTGTAACTTCCGTGCAATCTGAACCTCAGTACGTGCTTCCCGTTGACCTTCCCGAGGCTCCTCTTGGAGGTGTGGATTCAATGCAAAGCCAACTGGGGGGACATGTAAACGGTACCCAGCATTCCCTGCAAGACATTAGAGATGAGAAGACTCAATGGCTCAGTCTCCCAGCGTAAAGCCTTGTTCCCCTTCTCACATCTGAAGGAAAACCTGTGTAATTGCAAACTTCTGACTCAGGCTAAAGTCCAGTTTCTGCAGCCTAAACAATGACTAATCACGCTAAGTATTCAGTAAAACATTCACTCAGAGTTTTAAGTAGATTTACATTGATCCAGCAGAGTGTATTATGTTCCTCCCATAACCGAGTGACCTGAAAGAAAGAAACCACATTGAGATAGGGAAAGCTCTCACACATGGATCAGGCTTGTTTATAGTTCAGTCAACGTTGGGATTTTATCTGGAATGACAGTCTTACACTTATGCAGTACCTATGTCCTTCCTATGTCTCTGTCAATAATCTCCTGGCATAACCCTTGCTGCGGCTTCCAAATCAGGCTTCACTCATAACTGCTCAGCATTTAGGACCAAGTTTCACCTTGGGGTACACATGCACGGCTCTTCATTATAACAGGTGCCACATGTGAGAATCCAAAGGCAGAATTTGACTCAAAGTTGGGGGGAGGGGGGGAAGAGTTACTTTTCAGGTTAAAAAAAAAGTAAGTGGGGAATGATTCATGTCTCCAATTCAGCTTTAATAGAAATTCAGGCCAATTACCACTTTACCACTGAAAAACTGGTTGTTCACGTTATTTATCTGACAACTTTTTTATCAGCAAAGAGCCCAACAAAAGATCCACAACATTTGAACCTCTGTGTTTACCGACTCTGCACTGACAATACTCATGCCATCCCGTCCACATGAGAAGATTCACCTGGGCGGCCTGGAGAAAGTGAAGGTTTAACTCTTTGCAGGCAAATCAGCAGCATGTGCACTGGGGTGAGGGAAGCACTCGATCACCCTCTGAAGCCTGTGGGAGAGTCTCAGTCAAGTGCTGCTGTAAGTGTCCAGCAATAACTTCAGCTGCCCTATAATGGAGTTGGGGGGGGAAAGGAGCTGGTGTTTAAAGGATGGCAGAAGCAGTGAGCAAAGGGACAGCTCCTGCAGTGAGTAGGCAAGGGTGAGAAGCAGAGAGACCCGTCTTTCTTCGAGGTGCAGCAGAATAAGTAAACCTCTCTTGTCCGGGGCAGGGGGTGGGGGGGAGAAGAGCGAAAGCACTAGAGGGGCAATTTTCCCTTCTGCAAAGCTAGTGATGCTGGAGTGCTCTTACCATAGAAGAGTCTCTGGGGCTCTTCAGTGACTCCACATGGCAACATGACATCCTGAGTGGAAGAGGATGGACTGAGTGTTTGGGTTGCCTTGTCCTGCTGCTCAGCATGCCTGATACCTGGACCACAGCAGTGTGTGAGTGGGAACAGTTGAAACCTCCCCAGGAGACAGCTGTAGGATTGGTTCTGTGTGAAAATGCCAGGAGGGGTCATCTCACCAGGCTGACCTGTGAGTCCAAAGTCAGAGTGAAACACGTCATCGTCCAGCCCATCCAGGCTAGAATAGTCCTCTTCCAGGTAGCTGGGGGGATCCATTGCTCCTGCAACAAATGAACACTTGAGAAAATGGCTAAGATACAACTAGAGTGCAGTCCAGAATAACTCCCCATCCAATTCCATTCAGGAAGACACAGTTCTCCCTACTTCCCCAAGCTCTTTCCTCCTAAAACCAGTCTACATGGCCGGAAAAGATCAGAAATAAGTTGATGATTAAGATCTTGTGGTCAAGTTCTGCAGCCCTTGAACGGACAGCTCTGCAAGCTAAAAAGGCTCCACCTATGGTTCGAAGTCTTAAAGACCACCCCTCTTCCCCCTCCCCCCAATAAAAGAATAGTCATGGCGAGACAGAGGGACATTGTTTTAAAAAGCAAATCTAACCTGCATAGCCACCCCCCCACACACATATATTTGCCTTCTGATTTACTATTTGGTGTAACCCAAAGACTCTGAAGAGACTTGCCATCAAACCATAAGACTTGTCAACACTGCTTTCTGCCAAACACGCCATAACCCCCGGTTACTTCATTCCCTGCCCTGCAAACCAACCAAATGCCCAAAACTCATGCAGCCCCACCACCCCCATGTACCCCTCACTACTACAGAATCTACCCGAAACACCCTTCCTTTAGTTCACCCTAGAATTACAGAAGTTAGCGTTTGCTCATGTCCGTATCTCAAGCAGGGCTTTTACACATCAAAGTACACTTCTACCCCGATGTAACACTGTCCTCGGGAGCCAAAAAAATCTTACTGTGTTATAGGTGAAACTATGTTATATCAAACTTGTTTTGATCCACCGGAGTGTGCAGCCTCCAACCCCCCGGAGCGCTGCTTTACCGCGTTATATTTGAATTAGTGTTATATCGGGGTAAAGGTGTATATTCCTTTAGCCCCATTATGTCCTCACACCAGGCAAAAGAGGGTGGGAAAATGAAAACCACTCTTTTAGAGCTCCTGCTAACACAGGATAGGGGGAAGCAGCCTGGCCAATGAATCCAGCAATCCCTTCCTGTTATCTGTGCATCTGACCCCATTTGAAGACAGTCTCCTAAGAGATCCATGCCCAGGATTTTCACCCAGTTTTCAACAAGGAAGTGAAATTCAACTCTTCACTCTCCTTTGCTCTGGTTTTGACCAAAAGTTAACAGGCTGGCAGACTAGTAATAGGAATCCTAGGCTTGAAGGAAATAAAAAGACAACTGTTAGCATGATCTATCCAGTACTTCCCTCACAGTTCTCCACATGTACCTCCTCCCATGTAAATATGAACTCAGGACACCATTGTCCTAAAGAAGATACAGAGATGGCAAGGAATATGGTTTTCCACTCTCAAAAAGAGGTTACAACTGCAAATAGCATTAAAATGTATAGCTAGAGCTACATTTGGTACCAAAAGCTAAATATGACAAACCCCAAAGCCAGGAAGTTTACCAGGTAGACCAAACATTTAACAAAAGGGGCTTCAGAACAGTCAGAAATCTTAGTCCACATCCTATCCTGGTGGGCCAAGGTGAGCTCATGCTTTTTTCTGAGGGGAAGAACAAGACATTTGACAAGTCCAGAGCATCACCTACCCTAAGAGCCACTTAATTTCTTCATGACTCCAAAATAAAGTTTGCTAGCTCCTTCAAAAACAAGAAGGAAAATAGAGTTTCTCAAAGGAAGATGCATCAAACAAATCAGAGTTTGCTAGCGTTGTTTATGACTGTGGGAGCACAAATGCAGGGAGTATCATACCTTCAATCTGCCTACCACATTCTCTTGAGGAAACAAGAAAACCTGCTATCTGAGAAAGCCTGAGCACACTGACAGTGGAATTCTTATACATTACAGTATCAGAGGCTACTCTCAAGATGAGCAGACAGGAAAAACAGAGGGAGGGTTGAACATACACATGCCTCTGCCTGCTTCCCAAAACAAAGTTGGCTGGTCTAAGTTTAGGACTACCATATTCCTTTCCTTCATTTCCTTCCCTTTGTGGGCTTACGTACTGCAAAGTTATACCTGTGCAGAGGACTTAAATACAATGTTTGAGGCCAACAGGATTTAAAACAGAAACTTTAAACCCCAGAATAGATTCAGTAGTGGAAACACATTATCTGGGCTATTGGAAACTACTATAATTTCTAGCATCACAAGTGTACTCAGCATTGTACGTACAAGGCACTATCTTATACAGGCACTTCAGGTAACTGTTTTCAAAAAGCAATATGCTTTGGCATAATGCTAGCACTCACTTGTTTCTTTATCATCATTAACATTTATGCCAATCACCAATTTTTAAAGTCTCTGCCTTTGGCAAGTGCCCGAATAATTGCTTTGTGAGCAATACACTGAATTAGCTCACTGCCAAAGAGGCACAAGTATTTTTCAACAGCTACTTGCATGAATAAGGAAGTGATCACATCAAGTTGAGGAAACTCAACAGAAGAGGAGTTTTATTTATTTTAAGTAAATCAGATACCATGGTGAGTATGGCTAACGGAGGACACTGCAAATATTTTTCTGGTGGAAGGAGGGGCTTATTTTACCGGACTAGAATTCAGCTGTAGAGACAGTACAATGAAAGGATATAAAACAACGGTAAGATGTGGGGAGCCCTTTCAGGCAGGGGATGAACTGCTGTAGAGATATATGATTTTATGATAAATATCTTTTCCCTTTAGTTCCCGGCAATCTAATGACTCTGCCAGTTACCAGTTTATAGTCCGAGAGTAACAGGCGAGAAGATTCCCCCCCCCCACTAGTTTGGGGTGCATGAGCTCACAGAACAGAGCGAAACAGATGTCACCCAGGCTCAATTGGAGACAATATAAACATCTCCCTGATATCAACAGGGGAAGCCATTTCCTGGATGGGGGGAGAGGGTCACTTAGCATAATGAACTAGAACTAAACGGTACCAGCAGAGCGGATTTCTCCATGCTGAGGTGATGAGGGTCGGGGTCTCCACTCCAGGACCAAGACCGGGGAGAACGGGAGGAACCCGGCCCCGCTCTAGGCGGGTAACTGCAAACTCCATGGGTCTAAGTGCAGGTCCCGACACTTCTCAGTCCTTACCTGACTCCTGGCCCTATGGCACAAGCGGCTGCAACCTGGATGGCTCGATTTCGGCTCCGAGCCCAGCCAAGAGATACCAGAGATAGAAGCTGCCACAGGCTCGCTCTCTCCCCACCGCCCTAAGGCTCCTGATCCACGGCCCCCTTCCAGCTAACCCCGCCTGGAGCGGGGGCGGGCTGCTAGGTCAGTGCCCGCCGGGACTGAGCCCCCCTGCAGCAGCAGCAGCAGCTCCGGAGCCGCTGCCATGCGCGTGCGGGGTCTCTGCCCCCCAGGGAGGGCAGAAGCCGGGGAGCACGGGGTGCAAAGGGGCCTCCTGACTGGCCCGCCCGGGAGCGCCTCCCGCGGCAGAGCTGGGGCGCGCTCCGCTCCATGCCCGCAGCGGGGAGGCGGCCGGCAGGAGCCCCCGGCCCGGCGGGCACTTACCTGCGGCAGAGGAGGCGAGGCAGGGCAGGGCGCCGCCGGGCGGACGGAGGTGGGGCGACGCGGGCGCCGAGCCCCGGCAGAGCGAGGAGTCCCCAAGCTGCAGCCTCAGGCGCCGCCGCGCCGCATTGTTTCCAAAATACACTTGCTTCCTGGCATCCCCCAAACAGCTGATAGGAGCCCCGCCCCCAGTGACGTACAGCCAATACGGAAAGAGCGCCCCACGCCCCCAGCGCTGCCCCAGCAGCAGGGACAGACGCTAATGTGCAGCCTTCCATGTAAACCAGAGTAAGGGAGGGAGGGCAAATCCCCAGCCCCTCATAAAGCGCACAAAATGCACAGCGGGGCTGGTGAAGGGAGGCTCCGGCTTGGCCGGCCGTCTGGTGTTACGCTACAGCTAGCCCGAAGGATGCAGGGCAAGGAAGGCTTATGATAAGGGCTTTGACACAGTCCTTCATGACGGGTTCATAAGCAAAGCAGGGAAACGTGGTCCAGCTAAAACTACTATAAAGTGGGGTGCACAAGTGGTTGAAAGACCATCCTTATGGAACTGGGAGGGTGTATCTAGCGGGGCCCCACAAGGGTCAGTCCTAGGTCAGGTACTACTCGTTATTTTTCATTAATGACTTGGCTAATGGAGCAGAGAGTTAATTTATAAGATTAGGGGATGACATCCAGCTGGGAGGGTTGCTACAACAATGGTAATACCTTGCAGTCATCCACGGATGTTAAAGCACTATGGAAAGAGGCATAAACATTAGGGCTGCTGATTAATCGCAGTTAACTCACGCGATTAACTAAAAAAAATTAATCGCAATAAAAAAATTAATCACAGTTTTAATTGCACTATTAAACAATAGAATACCAATTGAAATTTTGGATGTTTTTCTACATTTTCATATATATTGTATTCTGTGTTGTAATTGAAATCAGTGTTTATTATTTTTATTACAAATATTTGCACAGTAAAATGATAAATAAAAGAAATAATATTTTTCAATTCACCTCATACAAGTACTGAAGTGCAATCTCTTTGTTGTGAAAGTGCAGTTTACAAATGTAGATTTTGTTTGTTACATAACTGCACTCAAAAACAAAGCAATGTAAAACTTCAGAGTTTACAAGTCCACTCAATCCTACTTCTTGTTCAGCCAATCGCTAAGACAAACAAGCATGTTTACATTTACAGTAGATAATGCTGCCCTTTTCTTATTTACAATGTTACCAGAAAGAGAGAACAGGCATTTGCATGCCACTTTTGTAGTCAGCACTGCAAAGTATTTACATGCCAGATATGCTAAACATTCATATGCCCCTTCATGCTTCGGCCACCATTCCAGAGGACATACTTTCATGCTGATAAAAATCTCGTTTAAAAGAAAGGTGTTAATTACATTTGTGACTGAACTCTTTGGGGGAGAATTGTATGTCCCCTGCTCTGTTTTACCTGCATTCTGCCATATATTTCATGTTATAGCGGTCTCAGATGATGACCCAGCACATGTTGTTCAT